AATTTTAAATTTTCTAATAGCCATCTTAACAAAATTAAAAAGAAAATAGGTTAAATAATTTTAATAACATATTTTATTTAAACCAATATCTCTAAAACATTATTGTTTCAATTTATAATCTATGTAAAATTGAGATATTTTACATTCTTCTGGAACAAAATATTTGAAATCCAGTGTGTATATTACATTGTACGCAAACTTCAATGCAAGCTAGCTCCTTTTCAAGTCCTCCATAGGCATGCTGCCATAGGTTTAGTCCCTACATCTTAGAAATGGGAATAGGCATAGAGGGAATGTTCGCATGTGATTGTTGACTTGGTTTTAGAAAATGGAGAGAGAGAAAATTTATAACCCCAAAAGCAGAGCAGAGTGGGAGGAATCAAAGAGAAGGAGCTTTGGATGAAAAATCCAGGGATGATTTATCATCCTTACAAATCCAGCCAGTCATTGACATAGAAAGGGGTTACACCATCTCTATTCTGGAACATAGCCAATTAAAAAAAATACATTTGATATATTTCTACCCTTCCCTGTCCCCCTTGAGAGAACTTCCAAAAAAATTTAATTGCAAATGAGATGTGCAATTTTATGGTACGTGAACAAGGAAGAATATTGAAATATGTGAATTTAGAAACTGCTAGATATTATTGAACACAATGTTTCGTGTTAATACAATTTTACAAAGAACACTTATATTAATTGCCAACATGGTTACTTAGACAAAATAGAGTCGTTACATATTTTCCCCACAGTATTATTACAGTTCCCTCAAATTGTCATTTTGTGAGAAAATATCAATACATTCACCCCTTTGAGATGCTTTTTAAAGGAAGGCATTGTGGGAGTGGTAGAATTCCAACCTTATTTTATGCAAATTATCTCAAGGAAATGTAAAATTATTTGATAAATAGCAATTTAAATTATGAAATCGATGTCTAGGAGAGCAATTTTCTAAAGCCAAAATCACAGATAAAAAGGATTTCAAATTCATGATGGATTGAATCCCTTTGTATAGTAGACAAGTAATTAAAGTAGGGACACATTGATCTTTAGGAATAGGCAAAATAGACGACTACTTTGAACCAAGCAGTGATCTCAAGGTCACTTGGCAGGACTTCGTGCATCCTCAAGTGTACTCCAATGTTAAGATATTCTCTGAAGCTCATTCATCTAATGGGTTTTCATGGAAAATGACAATATGCAGCAGAGCTGACAATATAAATTGGTATCAGTCATTTTTGCAGGGTGTGAATGGGAAACAGAACAGGACAGAACAGAAGAGAGCTCTCAGTCCTTTCTTCCTGCGGTCGCTGCATCCCCTCCAAGCCTGCTCTGCCTTTGCTCCCTCAAGTCTGATGAAAGTCTGCCAGGCTCTGCTTCGCACTCTTCTTTCAATTCCCATTGGCCTTGCATTGGTAGGCAGGAGATCAGCAAAAACATTAGACACCCTATTTTGTAAATTCCCAGTGGAATTTCATATATGTGACCATTTGAAGCCACATGTCCTCGGCTCCATCTTGCCCTGAGTTCACGTGTTTACACTGCTTTCCTGATCCCAGTGTCTCAGCTCGTCCTCTGTGCTCACTGCTGGCTACATCCTGGCCTTATGGGGATTCAACCGATGGAATGGGAAGTTCAAAATTACAGCAGTTGAATAGGGAGATGGCTAGAGAAGCCACAGCATGTGCTGAGAATTTCACAGAGAGAGAGAGAGAGAGAGAGAGAGAGAGAGAGAGAGAGAGAGAGAGAGAGAGAGAAAGAGAGTTGGCTTAGGTTTCCAACCTAACAAGGCCTGAGGGCTGGATGAGTAGAAAGGGCATCTTTAATATTCTGAAGATATTACAGGGTGGCACTAAAAAGATAGCTAATGCCTGAATCTAAATGGCAGTTAAATGAAATGTGGAACAGATGCGAGAAGGGGCTTTGGAAAGACTTTGGATAGGAAGAAATAGAAATAATTATAGAACTGGATAGTAGGACAGCTAAACTAATGGTGAGTGATTAATTGCACTTGGGAATTTTTTCCCTTTTAATTTCTAACTCTCATTGAGATTATTTCAAGACTGATAAGAGGAAAGGAAATGGATGTAACCAATTTTATGCATTATTGTTTAAGCGGGCATAGTTACACTTACTAATAAGATTAGATTTGAGACTATTGAGGGATCCAAGTTTCCTTTTCCCTATTTTTTCCTGGGAGTTGAGGATTACAGTTGTTGCTGTGCTCCTCTGCTAGAGATAACATGGTGGCATCTTCCAAGGATGCAGAATGGCTGTTAGGATGCTTGCGTGGACACGTGTCACTTAGGGTTCCTTGGCGGTAAGCAACAGAAACCATCTCTGACTAATTTAAACAGAAGGATTTTGTGGGCTCTGAGAATTGATGGTGGGAATAGGCAGAAACCAAAGTGCCTGGAGGTATAGAAGTTGGAAACACAGTAAGTGTGTCATAGGAGCAGTCTGGTTCTGATACAGCGATTGCCACTGTGATGAGCAATTG